GTCACATGGTCGCAGCTGGTACTGATAACTGCCTGATTCTGCTACAGAGCCACCTTAGCAGGCCTTGGTCCTTTACCAGGCAGGGCGACTCACACCTTCATTCCCAAAGATTCTGAGCCATCTGTTACCTGCCTGGACTGGATTGTTGTAGTTCCTTAGTAACAGGGCATGGTAACACTAGGAGATATCCTTATGGACATCTTGCACTCCAAATATTTCTTACCTCCCCTTTAGAGTAGTGGTCCGATTTCCCCTTGGTAATCTGAATCAATCACCCTGGTAACAACATAACTCCATTTTTACCTGGTTGACTCAAAGAGGAGCCTAAAATTACAAGTCTTAGCTTCTAGTTCAGTGGAATCATCATCATGCTTCCTGGTATGAGCTGTCCCTGCACCGGAACGAAGATGTCTAGGCCAGCAGAGTGTAAGATCACCAGAACAGGAAGCTACTAGGGGTGCTAGTGAGCTACTAGGGGTGAATGGTACCATTTCCACTTCTACTCCCATATTCTCGGACCCATGAATCCTGGGTGCAGGAGACACAGTACCATATGGTGGATGATGGTGATTCAGAACATATACAGCCTTCCTGAGAACCTTGCCCTGGTCCTGAAAACTATGGCCACCCAGCTGATCCTGTAGCTCTATTTTCAAAAGGCCATTCCACCATTCTACCAACCTAGCTGCTTCTGGGTGGTGAGGAACATGGTAAGATCAGAGAATTCCATGAGCATGAGCACTGTCTCACGTCTTTGGCCATAAAATGTGCCCCTTGGTCAGAGGCAATGCTGTGTGGAATTCCATGATGGTGGAGAGGCATTCCGTGAGTTCATGGATAGCAGTTTGGCAGAATCACTGTGTAGGGAAGGTGGATCCATGCCCAGAGCAAGTGTCTTTTCTGGTAAAGACAAAGCACTGCCCTTGCAGAGATGGAAGTGGTCTGGTGTAATTAGCCTCCCCCAAGCTGCAGGCTGGTCATCCTGGGGAACAGCACCATATTGGGCACTGTGTTGGTTTCCACTGCTGGCAGATCAGGCATTCAGCAGCAGCTGCAGCCAGTCATCCTTGGTGCGTGGAGTCCATGCTGCTGAGCCCATGTGTAACCTCCATTCCTGGCACCATGGCCACTCTGTTCATGGCCCATTGGGCAGTGACAGGGCTGGCTGAAGAAAGAGGTTGGCTGCAGGCCGGGATGTAGCTCAGTGGTTCCACCACCTGCCTCACAAATTCAAGGTCCTGAGTTTGATCCCTGATGCCCCCTCACCAAAACAAAAAACAAAAAAAATGCAAGGGATTTAACTCAGTGGTGCCGCCAACTGCCTCACAAGCACAAGGTCCTAGGTTCAATCACTGGTATGAAAGAAGGAAGGAAGGAAGGAAGGAAAAAGAAAAGGAAGGTCGGCTATCTGCAGAACAGGCATCCTGTCCACTCTATTTGATCCCCTCTTCTGCTGAGGTAACCTATTAGTGAGCGCATACATGGGATACAAGTGTCTTCACACCCCTGGCCCAAATGGAGGGGTCTGTTCACATACCTCTTCCCCCAGTGCCTTTGCTACTACTCTCCAATCTGGTTCCTTCCAAGTCCCCTGACTACCGGCCCAGTCCACTGGCTAGAGCTGAAGAATCAGTGTACTGTCACACATCTGGCCATATTTCTCTTCTAGACAAAATGCACTACCAGGTGCACTGCCCAAGGTTCTGCCCACTGTGAAGATTTCCCTCACCACGGTGCTGCAGGGACATCCTGGACAGGGGCTGTAATGCTGCAGTGTCCGCATGGACAACATGAGAACCATCTGTAAACCAGGCCCTCGCCGCCTCTTCCTGACAGCTGGCCACATGGTGCACTCCAGGAGGCCCACAGGTGCATGCTGGGAAACAAGGCTATATAGCAGTAGGAGCCATGGGCATCAGGCCACTTCTTCAGGTAACTTACTTTTACCCTCTGGACCTGCCCTGGCCCGATCACATCTACACTGTCTCCATTTAACGACAGACTGTTGCAGTGCACCTCCGACCTTATGACTTGTGGACCAGATAATGCCCAGATCATGATGGGCAACTGAGGTAGCACAGTAATCTGGTGCCCCATGGTCAAGCATTCAGTTTCCACTACGGCCCAACAGCAGGCTAGCAGCTGTTTTTTTTTTTTTTTTGAGGGGTAGTGGTGTTATGGGGATCGAACTCGGGACCTTGTGTCTGCGAGGCAGGCAGCCACACCACTGAGCTAAATCCCCGGTCCCAACAGCTGTTTTTCAAAGGGAGAGAAGTTGTTTGCAGATGATAGCAGAGCCTTGCTCCAAAATCCCAAGAGCCTCCACTGCAGTTCACCAATGGGAGCTGCCAGAGACTCCAAGTGGCGTCCCTACCTGCCGCTGCCACCTCAAGGACCATCGGATCTGCTGGATCACATGGCCCAGGGCCCAAGCAGCCTGCACAGCTTCTCTGGTTCTGAGCACTTCTCAAAACTAGCAGCATTCCGAGTCACTCAGAAGATTGGCCAGAATAACATAGATAGTGAAGAACCAGGAGCTAGGGTGGAGGGGTGTGAGAGAGAGAGAGAGAGAGAGAGAGAGAGAGAGAGAGCGCTGCAGACAGAATGAACCTACAAGAGGCAGCACAAGGAGTTTCCCACTTGTATGGATCTGCACATGTGTTAAACTAATAGAACTGTGAAATCCCCCAAGAAGGATCAAATTCATAATATTTTAAATCTGAAAGAAAAATCCCACAGGAATAAAAGGTATTGGTTTTAAAATAGAAGCTTGAGGTACAGAAGAGTTTTTTCTGGGTTGGGGATGGATTAAAGGTTTCATGAAGGATGAGGCATTTTAAAAATGCATGTGAGAGGTGCAGCCCGCAGGACCGGTCCCGATCCATCTTCGCGGAAGCCACGTAATGAAATCAGCATAGCATCTGGCTGGCCTGCCTCTGTCAGTGGCACCTGAAGCCATGCTCCGCAGAGAGAGGCAGCGGGTGGGGTCACAATTAATGACCTACTGTCAATGACACGAATGCAGGAACAGGGCCCTCCAGGGAAAATGAACATAGGAGAAAATGCCTCAAACTCCCATCCCCTCGCTAAGACTCTTACCCTTTCAAGGTCAAATTCGAGCTGCTTCCCAACCCTTATTCTTCTGACCATTTTCTATGTCCTAACTCGCTCTATGGAACCACTCTAATATTTTAGTGTAGTACTTCTCAGTATCTTAAAACCTATGCCTCATTTCCTACATGCCATTAAAATGTACCCACTTTTGTTATTTTTTTAAAAAATATACTGCATGACAGAAACCAAAGCACTAGCTTCAAAGTATACTTTCCTCATTCCTCCGAGTTCTACTTCACCCTGACAGCTCCTAAACTGGGCAAGCGTCTCCCGCCCTGTTGCCACACGCCCATCACTAGCTGAACACATAATCACCGGCATCTGTAACTTAAGATTTAACACTATGAAATGAGAACCAAGACCTGTCATGTAAAGGTACAAGATCCCAGTGATGAATGTAACTGTACTGCATCCCTAAAATGTACCAATAAACTCAATGAGGAAACAAAAAAGCTTTAACACCATCCCTAACTGGCTCACCTGTAACGCGCTGCCTTGGCTCGTTCTCTCCCTGAGAGCCCACATCATTCACATCTTCTGTAGCACAACTAATGCAGCGTGGGATTCACACTTGCTAACTGGATGTCCTTGTGAACTACTGTCCAGTCCATTCTATTCCTCATGTTTTAACTTCTCTGCTTGGAAGAAAATAATTTTTCTCAAAAGCTAAATATAATTTTTGGAATAGGTATCTAAAGGGCCCAGAGAAGTGTACTTTTTGGTACTGCTGACGCTCATGTCTGAAACTACCAGAAAGCTTGCAATGCTGCTGTTCTTAGCTAGTGCTGCAATTCAGTATAGCCGACCTCAGCCTGTGAGAAGGTTGGCCTTGAGCTATCCCTCAAGTTTAATCAGGATGATCCTGGATTCATTTGCAAAGAAGAGAATAAAATCTGGGCTATTTATAAAATGTAAAAAATATTTGAGGGAAGGAACCATACTCTAATCCCTTTATAACACACAGGGGCCTTATCTGTAACATTCATGTGTTTTCAGAAATGTGTAAAATATGGCAGAATGCCTACTGTTAAACTTACTTTGGTCCAATATAAATACCAGCAGCTTGTGAATGATTCTCAAGAATGAAGCACAGTTTGTTTACACTTCCTTAAATAGGACTAGCCACAATTAACGGGTACAGACACTGCAGAGCCACCAAACCCTGTCCCCCTTAGGCTTTCAACAACCACTGCCAATTGCCGGGCCCCAAATCCACTCTCCACACGAATCCCATCCACTTCCTTCAAATCATTTCCCCTACTTGATGCATTTCTCCTCAAATCTTCATGCAGTTCGTTTTTCCCCTAGAGATGAGGAAGCAGGCTGAAGAGTAAAGACAGGCTTTTCATACTGCGTAAAGCCAGCATGGCCATGGGAGTGTCTCCACACTTCTCCGTTCATGAAGTCAGTCAGTACTTTTTAAGGGCACATGTTAGGAATCATTTTTAAAATCCCTCACAAGAAAAGGTACATATGTCTGGGTTTGCAGAAAGCAAATCACCAAAAGCAGTCTTAGAAGCCATAAAGGACTTAACACAGTGCTGAGGAACTTTTATCAACCTCTCTAGTGAAGAAAATAATATGCTCACCCTCTGGTGGCCAAAATCAGAAACACAGTCATTTTTCCATTCAACTGGATTACACCCAAAATCTGTTTTGTATGGTGTGTTAAGTTTCTGCTTCATATTTAACCTACACCGAAAATAGATCTAAAAAGGCAACTGGCTTTTTAAGAAAATAGCTCTACTGCAATATATAAATCAATAAAGTATTTTAAAGCAGTAAAGATTTGCTTCTAAGTGTATTTGATAACATTTAAACTAGTTTCAAAATATAAGAATCAGAATTTTTGAGTTACCTAAATTACAGTGATGTTAATCGTCCTCTATTTAAAACTGCCTATTAGATAATTAATAAAAAATTAATTCTACTGGGTTTTAATCTGTTAAACATGTTATGTTTTAATCTTTTAATGAAATGAAAAATTCTGGATTAATGAAATTGAACAGTAAGGGTGCTTTACAAAGGGCTGGCGGGGCAGAAGTGGGAGGCTACAGAAGTACGGGTGCAGGGAAACCTACAAAGGAACAGTCAGCGGCCAGAGGAAGATCTGAAGAATACAGTGTCCCAGAAACTGGGGACAAGACCTGACTCTCAACGTGCAGCAGAACAGGGTGCTACTGACCACCCGGGAGGGAACAGCTACTGTTTGAATTAACTGCAAACAGACCGGGAGCCAAGAAAGGGGCAGAAAAGCAATGTGCACAGCAACAGAGGAAAGCAACTGGTGCCAGGGTGAGCTTGTGGGACACTGTGGGCACAGGCGGGGGGGAAGCCAGGGCACAGGAAAGGTCTGGGGCAGCGGGCCTCTTTCTACTGGGCTGGATCCTTAACCTTTCTATGTAATATTCTTACTTTATGTACTTTATTTAGTTATTCAGCTAGTGGTGCTGGGGCTCAAGGCTGGGTCCTCATAGGAGCCACGCCAGTGCTGCGCCTGGCAGCCACATCTGTGGGGAGCCGCTGGAAACAGGGAGGTGCCTCTTGAATTGAAAGAAAACATTTGATACGCTAAGCAGCTATCTTTGGTTAAGAATCCCTAAAATCTATGAGTCAAGTATCTGAGCACTTGAATTTTTGTGAAATACTCCACTACCACAGTATTGAAGCAATCGGTAAGAAGTAATGATCTATAGGTCCAAAACTGTGGTCTAGCTGCTGTTCATTATGTGTTAGAGTCCCGTGGGTCTTCATTTTCTTAGAACAAAATATCTTTGTCTTTTCGACTAGCAGAGATGACACTGTCAAGCTTGTGAGCAATGGAGAAAGCACAGGAGCGGCTTGGATCATCTAAGGGGTGACAGGAGTATGGGCGAAGCTGCCACACCCCAGTCCCTGTGTCCCTGTCACCAGACTAAAATGTCCTTTACAGCCTGGGCAAAGATAACTTTGTATGCTTTTCCCATAACTCAGTACCTGGCAAAACAGAATACGTAGCCACATCTTTGGGATTTATAAAGAATTTGGCAGTTAATATTTTCATATTCCACTCCTACTTTTTAAGATATATTACCTGAAGAGTTCTGTGAGATTACGGCAACCCATTTTACAGAAATCTGAATCAGGGGCCCCAAATCCAATGACTCTTAAAAAATGTGCCACCTTGAACTGGGTACAAAAATAGTATCTGTCATATGGTATTCATATTTCAGAAGGTGACATTTACTGTCCACTGTTGTATTACTGCCATGTGGTTCCTAATTGCTTAATATTATTTTCCATACCATATTGTTTCACTTAATGTTACATAGACTCAAATCCCATTATTTCAAAACAGTTAACTAAAAGCAGTCCACAGCAAACAAACAAAAATAAGAACACACATTGAAAACATTATTTATACTTTTATCATACACAAAGTATATAACATGTAAATGTAAATACATATAAATTAGATTATTAATAAGGTATACCATTTAGGGCTAGGGATTCAGCACAGTGGCGCCGTACCTGCCTCGCAAGTGCAAGGTCCTGAGTTCAATCCCTGGTACCAGGAAAAAAAAAGGTATACCAGCTAAAGTGAGTAATACATACTTAATAAATAAGTAACAACAAACCTAAAGCAGTACTTCTTAGCATGACAGCTCCACATGGAATCAGTTAAGATATGAGGGAATATACACAATGATGCATCCATTCCTGTCGTTCATTCAGAGGCATTACATGTTGACAAACCTGCATACAAAAACAGAAAGCTTTTACTTCTCTTTTATGTTATCACTGGTCAATTGTCAAGAGCCACTTCTAGGCCTCGTATAAAAAATGTCCCTGTGGAGCCAGCTATGGTGGAGCGCGCCTGTGCAGATAAAATCCAATGATCTATGTCCTTAGCGGGAAAGAGATGGAGAATTGAGGTCTGACAGGATGTCCAGGCTGAACCCTGCCCTGAGGTCTGCTTGTTAGCGGTGGGCGGAGGCTGTGGGACCATCGTTTCCTACCAAGCCTGAGGACTCCCTGAAACCTTACCTAGAGAAATACAAAAGATAATCCCTCTCCGGCCTTGATCGTTCCAGAGCATGCTAGGGCTAAAGACAGTCTGGAGAAAGAAAGGTGACTGTGGACAGCTAACCTGTCCCTTCCCAGACCCAGGAGTCCACAGCTCTGGCCCGGCTTTTGAACTGGGGGCTAAATCAGAAACCAGAGTCCTTCAAACACCAGAGCTACAGCTGCTTCTGGTTCTGGACTTGGTTGTTTCTCTAAAGCAGCTACTTCTTTCTCATGTAATCTCAGAGCTATCAATAATGCAGACAAAAATATTTTGAGTTGTTAAATTCCTAATCCTATTGATCCTACTTGTACCTTTCCATGGGGTGCTTGGAAGTGCTTTCGTGTGCGTCACTTCATTCTGTCTTCACGTTAACCTTGTGGCACATCCACACTTCTTACGCCATCCTCATTCTACCTTTAAGGGGCCTGGGCGGGGGATCAAGCGACTTGCCCATGGTCACTCAACCAGTGACCGAGCTGGATCAGAACTGACTGACACAGATATGAACATCAGCCGGGGATTTAGCTCAGTGGTTCTGCTGCCTGCCTCACAAGCATAAGGTCCCCAGATCAATTCCTGGAACCAAAAAAAAAACAGCTGCAGAAATGAACACCACACTCAAGCTAGCTGTCCACTTCCTTTCATGAACTCATGGTTTGGTTTTGTTTGTGTTCAGACAGGCCCCACTATATAGTCCAGTTCAAGGTGGCCTTGAACTCACTGTGCCCCTTCTGCCTAGGGCTCCTGAGTGCTGGGATCACGGATGTGTGCCAGTACGCCTGGCTCCTGCCTACATGGTTATTCATAGCATTACTAGAAAAAAATTCTTTCCAAAGAGATACAAGAAAGACAGGGCTTTAATCAGGAAATCGTGCATTACCATGGTAGACTGTGGTGCCACTTCTACTGCAAATATGTTAAGTCCTCTGCTGTTGACGCAGTTCTTACTCAGCTCATTGTTGACATGAATAATCACCTTATTATCTGACTGTAAAGAAAACATCAGCAGTTACTAGAACTTTCCCCAATAAAACAGACATACACCGCAGAATAAGCCCTGAGATTGTGTTACCAACTCACACGGACTGTGATTCCCCTCTCAGCTTGGTAGTTGTGAGTTTCTGTCACTCATTCACATCCTGACATCGGTTCTATAAACTTCATCCCTCCTCTGAGTGTGTCGTGGGTTCACCTTTACTTTCCATCCACAACCATCAGGACCACTCGCACCCCGTCATCTCAAGCTTGGCGCACTACAGCGACAGCTCATTTCTACTTCCTGTTCATCAGGGCCACCTTCCCTCCTTCAGTGAGCAGAGATGTAGTTAATGTTAACTGCGTGGCAGGCGTGGACCACGGGGATGGAACACACATTCCTGACCCCACTGGGCTAGTGCAGTGTAGGGGAGACACAGATAAAAGGCAGTTAGGAAACACTACACCGTGTCTTGTGATGTAGGCACGGAGAAGGATCTGTGGAAACACAGAAGGCTAACATCAGCTCAGACTGGCCTTCCAAGAAGACTGTAGAGAAATGACCCTCAAACAGTAAATCACGGCCCAGGCTGGACAGGAAGCTGGAGGAGCAGAAAGCGATGAATACGAGAAACGTACGCGTAGTCACACCCCTAAGGAGCCCCCAGTCGTCCCCTCTGACCGCGAAGAGGCCGTCTGGATTTACTTCTCCGTTCTTCTATCTTAGCGAGGCCACTTCTGTGAGTTACGGTGCCTCCCTGCACTTCCATTTCCGGAGTGTAGAGCAGGGCTGGTGCTCCCCTCACAGGGCGGGTCCTGCATGTGGGGAGCATGACCACAGTGCTGAGGGGTTTACTGACTTTTCTTGAGTTAAAGAGGTAGAGCATTGTGAAGTGGTGGACAGCAGCAGAGCAGAGGCTGGGGTAAGGCAGTGGTTCCCTCCATCCTCTAATGCTTGTAAGACACAGAGGGCAGAGAAGGCAACAGACACAGCTTAGGCTCCACCCTCCTAGGCTTCGGGCCATTTCAAGATCGCAGTTCACCACCTGTGGGCCACAGCACCTGTGGGAGCCCAGCTCCTTGCCCTGCTTTTCAGGACATCCCCTCTACCAGTGTCACTTGCCGTGGGTGCTCCAAAGCAAAGGAGCTCCTCTCTGGGCCCCACACTTCCTCCGACCCTCCCCTCACTCGGGCACCTTGCTCTAGAGGCCAGGTCCTGCCCAGACCCACACAACAGACCACATCCCCCAGCGTCCCTGGGGCACACCGACAACTGCCACAAGAGACACGGACAGACCACGACTCCCACCCACATGAGCCTCGCACTGTGTGATCTAACAGTTCTCCGATCTCACTGGACAGTGTTAGTTTTCTTTACAGCCAGCTCATGAATTCCTTGAAAGCTGAGACCACGTTTTACACTTTCCGGTGGCCCTTACTGTGTGACAAAACACACAAAACACTTGTACCCAGATTTTATGGTGTCTTCTCTGATCTTCAAATATTTAACTTTCGTACATTAAAAGGTAAACTATGATCTCAAGCCTCTAAAATCATACAAGAATTATCATGCCCAGTTTGATTTAGAAATAGGGAGAATAATTATTCTTTATGAAGATTATTGACATAATGGTATATTTAATTACTATGAAAAAATAGAGAAAGGACAAATTAGGACACTTGGCAGCCAAATAGTCAGAACCACTTCAGAACTGATACCTTATTATCGATGACTGACGTTATCCGGAAGTCACAACTACGGGTGTAGATGGTGATGTCTTCATAGCCATCCATGGCCCTGGCCTGGCCCTGGTGCAGGACAGACTGGCAAGTGGCCTTCTCAAGCTGCCCACTGCTGGCCTCCATCCTGACAGCCTTCATCCTGGGCTTGCACCTCTCTGCATAGAGATCTATGACAAACGGACATGCCTGCCACCCACGGGAGAAAAAGGAAACCTTGTTTCAGCCTTCTGGTGGAGTTCAAAATAAATCATTTAATTTATTCTTGGTACGTTCACCATGCGACTTAAGAAGGTGCACTAAACCTTGCAGTTATTTCAGTAAACCTTTAGAGGAAAGTTTTAGTATTATGAATTGAGTAATAAAAAGCAAGAGTCTGACTTTTTGGTGGCATATGAAATAATGTTCATTGAGAAAAAGAAAACCACACCCTCTCGCAATCATCCATGCTTCCTCTAAACTACAACGTTCCCCCTGGGTTCAGTCCTAACCAATTTGTTCATTTCCTTCTCTACCCTTGAAGGCTACAAAAAAATTACATTAAGAAATCTGGAGAAATTATTTTTGCAACTGAAACTTACACAGATACACTGCAGTGCCCTGGAAGGAATTTAATGTAGAAATTAAACTCACAATTCAAATCAACCAAAAACACACAACAGATGTGGTATCTAAAAATACTTTCTGCGACTGGAAGTGAGTTTTGCAGTGTCCTGGCCAGCACACGGACTGTGTGTCTCCCTATGCTCTGTTCGCAACACCGACCCGGCGGACCGCCGTGCGGGCGAAGCTTCCTTCCGAGGGGACTCCGTGGATGCGCAGTGCTCTTCCCGCAGAGGGCTGTCCACGCCTGCTCTCCACAGTAAAGCTTGCGTCCTTCCACCTCCACAGAGGATATGCTCTGCACCGCCCCTCCCTGCCTCTCCTCAGTCTTGGCCTCAGCTTCTGTCTTGCTTCTTTCAAGACACCGGAAATGATAAAAAGAGTTTTCCATTTGGGAACCATTCTCCTTCATGAAATATACACTGCACAAGGGCAAGACTTTGGACTGTTCGTCCCTTGTTACGGCTGTGTCTAGATGTCTCCCCGGGCTTTTCGGAGGTGGCTGGATCTAGAATGTGTGATGCTGGGATTAAAGGTGCTTGATTACTAAGTCAGTCCACTGACTAGTTTGGCATAGTTCTGGGTGTGGATAATGGGAAGCCCTACCCTGGGTGTGGGTGGCACCAACCAAAAGGTGGGTAGCCTGGAAGGGATAAAAGGAGGGCTGCTTCTGCTGCTGCTGGATGTTTGCTGCCTTCTGTCTGCCTTGCCTGGACTATTTTTCTTTTGCCACAGGGCCCTGCCTTGGAGCAACTGACTAAGGACTGAAACCTCCACAAACTGTGAGCTGAAACATCCCCTCCTTTAACTTTGGGTGTCCTGTATTTTGTCTCAGCGATGAGAAAAGTAACTAAGATATTCATTCACCACTGGATCATTTGTGCCTCTTTCACACAGTCGGTCACAATAAATATTTGGTGAATAAGGGAATAAATTCACACACATCAGTGGTTTTTCTTTTGGAGAATAAAAGAGAAAAGCTGAAGTTGATTTAACGGAAGAGCGACACAGTCTATTTTCTGGTGCTGGGGATTCAACCCAGGGCCTGTGCCTTCTTGGCAGGCACTACCACTGAGCTACATCTGCAGCCTCTGAAACATTTTACTCTAAACTCTGACAGTGATAAAGTTACCCTTAAAGACAGGTGGTAGGGCTGAGGGTGTAGCTCGGTGGTAAAGCACTCCTGATACTGGAAAAATTTCGGCATAAGGCTCTGAGTTTAATTCTCATCATTAATGGGGTGGGAGAGGGAGAGAGACTGAGAATCAGTGGATGAAGAAGCAGGAGACCCAGGTCTGCAGCCACACTGTATCACGCACACCACCACACCGGCACTACCTGTGTCAGCTCCAGAGCTGTGTCGTAGCCCATGGCGTGCAGCGTCACCCAGAGGTCACGAGGGTCCCCTTCCCGGTCGCTGGCTTCCATGAGATTCAAGTCCATGAACCCCTGTCTTGTCAGTTCATTCTTCTTTGTATCAAAATTCTCTGTTTAAGCGACCCAAAGTTTCTTTTTTAGATAATTCAGCAATTCAGACATGATAAAATGTCCACGATACCGTGTTTTCACACGTGCTTGTCTCTAAGGAGGCCAGAGGGATCCTTGAGCGTCCGTCTGCAGAAAAGCACGGTTTCACCACTTCCTGCAGCTCGGCTTGGCCTCTGTCTGTACACCTGAGTTTTTTCAACAGATCCTTTTTAAAAGTTTTTTTCAACAAATTCTGAAGTTATAAATAGTGCAAGCACATTCCAAAATTAGAGGAAATTATAATTTAGAATTATAATTTATGGGAAAATTTCAACCTGTGTACTCATTTCAAACTTATATTGATATTTCAATAACTAAAATGTCTTTTATATATATTTGCCCCTTGAACTCAGCAGAACCTCGATGAGTTTGATGCTATATCCCCCAAACTACTGAGTTTCCAAAGGGAGACAGAGATAGTGCTAGACTTAAAGAGACCACTGTGTGCCTGACTCCTCCAATTCTAAACAAACTGCCCCTCGGTCCTTGAAAGACTGTTAAATAGGGAACTCTATTTTTCCTTGAGTCAAAGTACCCCCGGTTTAACATTGTTTGTGAGTAAAACTAAATTCACCAGAAATGCTGTATTTAATAATTCCTTACTGTGTGTGTAGCATGTGTGTCTATGTCATATTTATGCATTTGTACTGAAATGTTTATAGACAGTAAACAGCCGTTTTGAGGGTTATGTTTTGGTAGGTGCCCTCCACCCAGGATCGGATTTCCCAAGCCTTCTCGCATGCTCGGGGAAGTGGGCATTCTTCAGTCAGCATCTCTTTTTTGTGCATGATCATGAGGGAAGCAGGGAAGACACGCATGTCTGAACCCGGCTGACTGGTTAATAGTGTAAGACGTTTAGGGAGGAAGTGACTGACAGGCTTTACAAGGAAAAATATGCATTTAGATTAAACCAGATCATGGAGAGAAATGGGAGCCACTAAAATAAAGGCTGGGGCTACTATGTAGTAAAGTAAGGTGAAAACTCGTACTTGTAGGACACAAAGAAGTTGCTACTTTAAAGAAAAACATGTCTAGATACTGTGCTATAGAGTTCAGCATAACTGATTGACTTTTAGAACTTGAAATTCTCAATGCCCATTAATTTTTAAAAGCTTATTAACACCTGATCTAAGACTCTGCAGCGAGAGTACTGAGTGTGGATGTCACTGAAAACCTGACGGGGAGACTGAGGCCCGGAAGCGATGGTGAGCGGGCGGGGTCCTCAGGGCAGGGGCTTTCCAGGGCTTCTTGCCTTTCACCCAACCAACCCAAAACAGGTTAGAGGTTCTGGTGCAAAACACAACCTGACAAAACTTCTAGAGGGTGACATGGGACGTAATCTAGGCAACCCTGGCTTTGGGATGAGGTTTTTGATACAGTAACAAAAAAAGACAAACTAAAGCTGTAACCCACGAAAGAAAAGCTGAGTGGGACTTCTCTGAAACTAGAAATGTCTGCTCTGGGAGACACTGTGGAAAGATGGAAACACTCCTGCTGACTGGGAACCTCCTGAATGTCTTGTATTCACAGTACACAAAGAGCTCTTCCAGTGCAACAGTAAAAACATAAATCCCCCAGACGAGCGGAGAGATCTGGACAGACACTTTGCCAAAGAAGAGAGCTGCAGAGGCTGTGTGTGTGTGTGTGTGTGTGTGTGTGTGTGTGAGATGAAAGGGTAACATCACTATGTAGCCCAGGGTGCCCTTGAACTCACCTGCCTCAGCCTCCAGAATGCTGAGATTATATGTGATTTCCTTGGAAACCTTTTAATTTTTTAGGGAAACCCTCTGTAGCCCTCTTCTGGCCCAGTGGTGTCAAGAGCCAGGCAATTTTTCTTTTAAACCCTAAAGGATTAAGTGATTACTATTTTCTCTGACCTTGAGTATTCTACCACTTGAAAATAATACAAAGGAAAATAAATGTTCACATATCTGGGATCTTACCAACAATCCTACTTTTATTTTTATTTATTTATTTTTTGGTACCAGGGATAGAACTCAGGTCCTTGTGCTTGCGAAGCAGGCAACAGAATGACTGAGCTAAATCCCTGGCCCAACAATGCTACTTTTAAACCACCCTAGTATAACAAGTCTGGCTTTGTACTTGCTAGGAATAAACAGAGACCATACACTGTCCTGCACGTCCACAAGGAAAAGCAGAAGTGCCCACCTTTGCAGAGCGCCCATGCCTCTTCGTCACACTTCTCACCGCTGGTTCTCAGTTCGAAAAAATTGTACTCTTCCAAGCTGAGAAGGCCGTTTCCATCCAAGTCGATCACTTCGAATATATCTGACAGAGCCACCCTAAAATTACGAAAACAGAAAACCATCTCGTCTTTCAGACAACTTAGGGAAGGTGACAATTTTCAAAGGATGTGGTATTACGGCATTAGGCAACTGTGAACTATTATGCAACCAAACAGTTCTGCTCAGTCTTAGATAAATGAGTTTCCAAAGCAACGCTTGTCTCTCAACTCAGCAGGAGCTCAGTGAACAGTGCTGGTCCCCACTCCGTCTCCAAACTGCTTTCTTCTTTCCCTGCCTGCAGCTGGGTCCTCCTGTGTGTATCTAGGGCACAGGAGCTTGGGACTTCAGTTGGGTTTTTTGTTTGAGACAGGGTCTCCCTATGAGTTCAGGTTGGCCTCGAACTCCGCCTCCCAAGAACTAGGATCACAGGCGTACATTAGCACACCCAGCTGGATTTCCTGTTTAGTTATCTGAATGCAGTGTGCACCAGTAGGGTCTGTTTCTCACGGCAGGGCTGGAGTTGGGAAATTGGCAGGCGGCGACTGCAGCTGACTGTGCCACCCAGACATAGGTGAAGGTCCCCGAGCCGTGTTAGGTCGCTTCCAGATGCCCGGCGAGTGAGCGTTTAGATACACAGACGCACGTGTGGTGCAAGGCCTGACACTTTGATGTGTGTACACAGCTACATGACATATGCAGTACCTCCGGGCTTATTCTCTATGAGAACACCGAAAGCAGCTCTTCTTCAGTGGATTTCACATGTACAGGACACACTGCATGAACCACAGTCACCACATCACAGACACCCGAACTTATCCCACTGCCTGGCTGAGCTCGCTGTCTTTCTCCAGCAACTCCACCACTGCCCTCCTCTCCCAGCACTGGTGGCTGCTGTGCTACTCTCCACGTCTTAAACTTTTAGGTTTCCACACTCGAGTGAGGCCAGGCGCATCTGTTCCTGAGCCACCTCCCTTTTCTGGGCACAGCATCTTCCAGGTTTATCCTCAATGACACGAGGCTCACGGGTAGAGTGGGCGCTGGCCACGCGAGGGTGGACTTCCAGGCTGGCGGCGATGGTGCGAATGGTCACACACGAAACTTACCTAAAGTCCTTTGTAAGAAACAGCCGCCCAGTGTCATCTCTGTAGACAAGCTGGGCTTCTTCTGTTACTGGCATGCTTTCTTTCCTCAGCCTACAGCCAGTGGTGGAAGGAATTAGCCAGTACACTCCAGGCCCTAGTTCACCAGTCCAGCCAAACACCTTTCCTCAAAGGAATCAAACAAAACAAAAACAACCATGAGTCATAAACAGTCATTCTTCTGAAAGAGAAGCATTGTAAATGATCCATAAAATCAATATTCACCAATTTATTATAGTTCTACCAATCTTTTGTAGTCTTCAAATCCTTTTTCTTTTCTTGGTTTTTTGAGACAGGGTCTCTCTGTGTAGTTGAGACTGACCTGGAACTATGTAGCCCAGGCTGGTCTCGAACTCACAGTGATTCTTCTGCCTCAGCCTCCCGAGTGCTGGGATTACAGGTGTGCGCCACCATGCCTGGTGATTCAAACCCTTTTTCTTAATGGTAACCCCAGTCTAAGACCACTAGATGTACTTCTTTTTATATACATATATATATATATA